TGGAGACATACCAGTAAGCTGTCCTGGAAACTCAATCCCAATTGCCGTTGGAAAATTGTTCTTTGTTCAAAACTTGTGCCACTGTGGTTCACATTGCTAGAGATAGAGGTGGGGAGAGGCAGCATAAAGTTATATTTATCGAAGATGTGTGCCTTGTTTGCCTTGCTTTTGCAAGCTCTTACTAGCACTGTCCCCCAAACAAATATTCAAAGGAAGCAAAAACAGTTCAATAGAGATATACCTTTATGCCTCTTAGGTGCGTGACATATTCAGGAGGGCCCCATGTATATTTATAGATCAATGTTCCAATTATTTAAGCACACACATCCTAGTTAGTTTCTTCTTAGATACTTTTACATTAAAATACTGCTTATTCCTTAATCAACTTCTTCCTTGTTTCTTTCTTCTTCGTCTTCTTTTTTTTTTTTTTAAACCAGTGAGACAGAGTCTTATTCTGTCATCCAGGCTGGAGTGCAATGGCACGATCATGGCTCACTCACTGTAGCCTCAGACTCCTGGGCTCAAGCAATCCTCCCACCTCAGCTTCCTGAGTAGCTGAGATTATAGGTACATGGCATCATGCCCGGGGAATTTTAACAAATTTTTTAAATTTTTTATTGTTTGCAGAGACAAGGTGCCACTGTGTTGCCCAGGCTGGTCTGGAACTCCTGAGCTCAAGTGATCCGCCTGCCTTGGTCCCCCAAAGTGGTGAGATTATAGGCATGTGCCACCACACCCAGCCTTTTCCTTGTTTGTTTTGACCACAATACCCCTAGAAGCCCAGATTCTCTTTCTAAGAGCAAAAGGGATTCTAGAGAAAGAGAGATTCTGAGGCTGAGATTCAGGCTGCGCTCCACCTCTCCCTTCTCTAACTGGTGCTTCTGTTCCTTGGAGATTAGTCCCGTAGCCATAAACTTGTAAACTTCATCTCCCCACTAGACTAGCCATTCGTGGAAGCAGGAAATAGGACTTCTATTTCTTGTTGTCACCCTCACCAGCACCCAACTCAATGTTCCAGACACCAACATAGTTCACGCCTATGTTGGTTTGGCTGTTAGGGGGCAGTGGGTAGACGATGTCGGGCCATACTCCAGCATGATTGGAAATACACACAACCTGTGTCCAGCCTCTCCCATCTGTAAAGCTGGCTTCTAGCCATCACAACAAGGTGGAAGGAATGGCTGGATATGCTGCCAGCTACCAGTATGAAAAGTGTCTTCTGTTGTTGGAAAACCACAACCTACCTCATCCCCACTTCCCTTGTTCCCTGTGGCTCCTAGGCCAGTAAATGCCTCTGGAGAACCCTGATTGCCAAACAGGAAAGTACAAAATAGCACACATTTGAATTACAGAGGAGAAACTGGAGGAATACAGACATATTAATACACAAACCAAATAGGTAGCTCTGGGGTTGGCCAGAAATTCTACTTTGGAAGGATTCTGAGAATCTATTTGGAGGGCAGAATATCATTTAATTTTAGTTCAGTTTGGTGAAGTTTTGTTTTTGTAAGAATAACACTGATGTGGCCTCTTCACTGGGCCATCTCTGCCTCAGATGTTTGGAGCCATGACTGTGATCTTGTTTGGCTGGTCCTGGGAGGCCATTCTTGGGTTACACATGGGTGATGAGATGGGATGGGAACCTGTGATGGAGTAGGCACTCCTGGCCCCAAAATACCTCCTACCCTTGTTCTGACTACTTCATCTGTGCTTCTCCATGTCTCTCTGAAGTTCTGCAAGGCTAGAATATTTGTATGAGCAAACACATGGGGTTTGGGATGGACTACACACTGTTCTCAGTGCTTATATTAATATTACCCTCACAGCAAATTTATGAGGCATTGTTGCCATCATTCCCGTCTTATAGATTAGGAAACCAAGGCATAGAGAGGTGAGCAACTTCCTGAAGGTCAGCCAGCACCATGGCTGGGATTCGAACCTTGGCCATCAGGCTCAAGAGACTAGGCTTTTCAATGCAATACTATGTTGCTGTCCCAACAGTAATAAGCACATCACTTGTAAGCCACATGAGAGGCACTGGGCTAAGAAAGTCAGAGAGATTTAGGAGGAAAAAACCCTAAAGAGATCATACAGTAATGGTGGAACCCAAACACCAACGCAGGTTTCTGACTACAAAAATGTATTATTTTCACTAAACTATCCTCAGATGAAAAGGTTCCAAGCTCAGGCCATTCGGGGTAAGGAAACGAGTTGGCTGGTTGTAGGTGCAGAAGCTTCCAGCAATATTCAGCTTTACGGGGCAGGTCTGCTTATGACATCTTATGTCTAAATCAAGCCAAGCCATTTTTTAACCAGGATGTTGCTATTTAAAGGAAATCCCTTTTGCCTTGCCCCTCCTGCCTCCCTGCCAAGACTCACTCCCTTATTTACCTTCTGTGTTAATAAAGCAGGGAAGATGGGTCCAAATCACTTCAGGAAGAATCAGTAATAAACACCTGACAGACATGCCTCTGCCCAGAGGTGAAGCTGTTATAACCTGTCTATGAGAGTTAATATACAGGAAACAGTCCCCAGGGCCTCTGGGAGGCTGGCATGTTGTCAAGAATACTACTGCAATGTTAGAAACAGAGGTGGATGCAGGATCTTGAGAGACATTGGCCTGGGATCTTGCCAACCTCTCGTTTTTACAGCAGACTTGGAAACAACCACTCGCCTCCTCCTAATTTGAGCTGCCTCAGCTAAATTGCTAACTTTGCCAATGACTATGTGTTTTGCCATCCCTGGCAGGGATGGTCTGAAGGGGCCATTGATTCATCTGAACCCTGACTTCATGTCTGACTGGAAGGGTAGGATCCAAGCTCATTTGGAAAGAAACAAGACAGAATCCAGTAGGAATGTGGAATCCGTTCTTAGTAAAGAGTTTTTTAAAAAAAAGAGATTAGAGTCAAAGAATTGGGAAACATAATGGAATATACACAATGAGGAAAGATAATGGAGCTACCAGAATGTGTGTGTGTGTGTGTGTGTGTGTGTGTGAGAAGGGTATTTTACTGAACACGCATGTATTATCTACTCCTTTTTGGGCTAAGTGCAACTTGAGATAAGAAAGAATGATAGGATCTCAGGGCTGAAGGATTTCAATTCGTAATTCCAAGTATGACTGCACAGGCAAGCCCCATTCCAATTCCTGTTGAGGTCCTAGCATGGAAGCATTCAGCAGCCCTACCGCACCCCCTGATAGAGGCACTCTCTGCCCTGATGGCAGCCCCCCTGCCTTTTGTTGTTGGTTCTTATTATTAGATGAATTTTTTTCTTTGGTGGAGCCCATAATGTTGCTCCCTGCAATTTCCAGTTTTTATTTTCAAGACCTGTCCATTTGCTCCTCCATGTGCTGATTTTACAAATACTTGAAGACAACTCTTGGGTGCTTCTTTTTCACACAAAGTAGAAAGAGAAGCACAGCCTTATAGTATCTAAAAGTCAAGTCCTCTCTTCTTTGTGTTCCCAGTGCATGTGGTAAATGTCTCTCTTTCAGCCCTCGACCTACTGGGTGTAATTATTTTTGTACTCATAGTCAACAAATATCTACAAGGTAACTCCCTTCTGCCAGACATTGTAGTGGGAAATTTCATAAGATATTTTGTGCAATCCTCATTCTAATTCCCTGATGTGAGGAGAGTTACACCCTCTTTATAGATGAGAAAATTGAGGCTCCAAAAGAGGAATTGGCTTCACTTCTCAGTCAGTTTCCTTATCTAGATAATGTGGATGCTAATACTGCCCTTATAAGGTAGTTAAGAGCAGTAAATAAGTGAAATGTACATGACATATAGTAGGTATGCAATACATGGGAGCTGTTTTCATTGGAACAGTCTTTCCACGGTTAGCCCATTTCATTTTTGGTGATGATAGTGATGATGATGATGATTATTATTATATTAATAACATTTGTTTAGTGCAAGCTATGTCCAAGACAGTGTCAAGAGTTTCACATTTGTCATCTTGACTAATCCCTTTAATTCAGGAGATTAGTATCATTATGATTCCTGTTTTATAGAAGAGGAGACCAAAAGCAAAGATCAGAAAAGTTCAATCTGGATCCTAAGCCCCCACTCCCAATTGCTCCTTTTTCTACCACAACCCCATAAAGCTTAGACTCTATTGCATCCCCTGCTGTCTAAGCACTGGATACCAGTGGCTCAACCAGAATGCTAACTGGGGGGCACTGTGGGAAGCTGGGGTATACCACAACCCTGTGGACATGTCAAGATGTGGCGACTTAATGCATGCAAAGGAAGAGCCCCAAATGAGGTGGTTAGAAAGGTGTCCTAGTGGAAAGAGAACAGTTCGGGGAGACCATGGCATTGTCAGGTGGGCAATGGAGGGGGGACAATGGCTCTAACAGGAGAAGTAGATTTTGGATTATGGTAAAGCCAAAAAGTCAGAAAAAACCCCCAGGGTCAGAGAGTGACTATAGCCTAGGAAGTTCTGGAGCTGGCAATTGTGAACATTTGGGGTAATTAAGTTGAATGGTGGCTGCTGCTTTTTCCTCCAACCTTCCTCTCACTCCAGGGAATTCCCAGTCCTTTTTTTTTTTGAGGCAGAGTCTCACTTTGTTGTCAGGCTGGAGTGCAGTGGCATGATCTGGACTCACTGCAACTTCCGCCTCCCAGGTTAAAGTGATTCTCCTGCCTCAGCCTCCTGAATAACTAGGACTACAGGTGCATGCCAGCACATTCAACTAATTTTTGTATTTTTAGTAGAGACGGGGTTTCACCATGTTGGCCAGGATGGTCTCGATCTCTTGACCTTGTGATCCACCCGCCTCAGCCTCCCAAAGTGCTGGGATTACAGGCCTGAGCCACCATGCCTGGCCAGGAATTCCCACTCTTATAAACAATCATCTATTCCAGTTGGCTCCAAAGTAAGAGAGCAATTCCAGGCCCCAGGGAGGCTAGCACGCCCGCCCTGAGATGCTGTTCCTGATGTGGCTCAGGCCTCCCTAACCTCTTATTGTCTCCCTCTTGCTGTCTCTGCAGTGATCCGGGCCAAGGTGGTGGGGAAGAAGTTGGTAAAGGAGGGGCCTTTTGGCACACTGGTCTACACCATCAAGCAGATGAAGGTAGGTAATGTCATCAGCCTGGCTCCAGGAGGGTGTCTGGGTTTTTGCCAGAAGAGACCTGGCCAAGGGAGACAAAGTGGGTTGGAACTGGGATTGTGTCTAAGCACCAGCCAGACCCAGCCCTTCTGACTCCTGGAAAGGATGCTGCTAAGGCAGCATTAAGGGATGAATAGGGAGGGGCATGGGGCTGCCTCGTCCCAGAGCCCACGCAGGTGGAGTCACTCCAAGGCACTTGTTAGGAGGCTCAGCTCTGGAGCCAGATGGCAGATAGCCTTGTTAGCTGGTAACCATGAGACCATGGCCAAGTCACTGCCCGTCTCTGGGCTTTAATCTTCCCAATTGTGAAATAAGGCCGTTGAACTAGATCATCTCTACAGACTCTTCTGAGCTCCGACTATCCTGGATTCAACAGTGCTTACAGGTCTCAAGCAGCCACTGAGGTTACAGCTTAGGTTTACACTCCTCAAATCTTTACATGAAACCTGTGCTGATCATAGGAAGCTCATCCCAAGGTAGAAACTGCACTTTCTTTCCCTATTTTCTCAGCTGATTGTCTTCTTGCATCCTAGCTAATTAGCAACATTTGCTAAGCATATTCTTATCATTAAACATATTACCTAGCATATGAACATCATGAAGCACAGTAAGGAGGTCTGTCTTAAGAAAAAGAACACCAGCTTTGAAATCTAGAGAACCTGGCTACTAGTTTCAGCTTCACTCCTAAATAGCCTGCTTACCTTGAACTTGTCCCTTTTCCTGGGCCACAGTTTTGCCATCTGTTAACAGTGTGGAGTTGGGCTTGATGCCCATCTCTAGCTCAGGCATTCTGATCACCCTGAGATCTGGGCTGTGATACTTTGTAAGGAGCGGGTGGTATACAATGGAAGAGTGAACTGGTGATTGCCTTAACACAGAAGACTGGGGCTTCACCTTGAATAACTCAGCAACTGGTTCTTCACTCCATCTCTGTGAGCACCTCTCTATATGCAGAGCTCCGAGCCAGGAGCCAGGGAGGCCATGAGGTAGATAGTTTCCACCTTTAGGGACTAGAGTTCCTAAGGTGGGAGAGAAGAAGCATGTGTGTGTATGACTCATCAGAAATTCAATGTGGGGTGTGCTGAGGTCCACAGGAACTGTCCAGCCCTTTAACTTAACTGCTCATATTTGCGTCCCCAGCAATTACGATAGGACCTGACATGCAAAAGGGACTTGGTGAATGTTTATCTGTCTAATAGGGACATGAGGGTGAAACTCCACAGGCCTGGAAACTCCCCAGAGGAGACAAGCCACAATGTCCAGTTAGAAGGGAGTCGGGGAATGATGCAGCCCATGGTGGTACCCAACCTCCAGGCTTCCTTATTCCCATGTCCAGGGGCCTTCGGCTACATGTACTAATTTTGTGGAACCTGTTGCTTTGGATTCAATTTTGCAAACACCCACAGCCTTCTGGTTATGTAATGTCCAGAGTCAGCCCTGGCCAGTTGCCCTTGGCTGCCTAAGCTTGGTCATGAGACCAGCTTATGTCTTCAGATGGCCCTGGGGAGAGAAGAATGGGTGGGGGGTGGGAAACCAGGAAGAGCAACAACAACCAAAAAAACCCACTTTGCAATCTCTGGCAGCCAGCTCGGGAATGCCAAAGATTATTAGACCAAAGCAGAGGTTCAGAAAACACATGAACCTGCCTGGTCTGGAACAGTCTTCATTACGAGATACTTTGTGGTCAGCAGAGAGCTGAGCAAGAAATAGCTGGGAGGCAGCAGTTCTTAAGCCCACCTAGTTTCCTTCCTACCTGGAGACCAGGGTGGAGGAGACCTGGAGAGCCTGGAGACCAGGGTGACCAGAAGCCCTTCCTGTGGGCAGAATGTCCCATTCCTCCCTGCTGGTGTCAGACTAGCCATTGGGAGTTGTTTAGAGACCAAACAACATTTGCTAGCCCATCACTTCAGAATACACACTCACACTCCCAGACTGGTGGGCTCAGCCTTTCCATTCACCATCCTTCACCTGAGCTCATGAATCATGGTGCTGGGAATTAGATGTAAAATCCCTCATCCTACTTCTGACAGAGGCTCAAAGAAGAAATGACTTGCCTAGAGCCATGCATTTAATTAAGGACAGATCTAATCCCCAAGCTGAGGTATCAGAATTCCTTCCCAATCCCCAGTTCTCCCTGCCCAAATCTCCCTGCCATCTTACTTTAATCATCAGTCACCATCTCATGCCTTTTATTCACTCTGACCCTGCTACAGTCAGGTATTAGGATCCATAGAACTGGTCAGTGCCCTTCTATCCAGAGAGGCCACTGGAATCTGCTTGTCTCTAGGGACCAGCCTGCAAGTCAGTGAAGATACACACTAGAAGTAGAAGTAATAGTCCGTCCATCTATCCTCTCATGGCTCCCTCCTACCCTCTCTCTGTGCTTAGTACTGTGCTATGAGCTGGAGATACAAAGATAATACTGGTTATAATTATGATAAGACTCTGCGTAAGTAATACTTACTGAGCATTTGCTATGTGCCAGACATTCTGCTAGGCCTTTGCATAGATCAGTCCTTATACTAACACTGTAAAATAGATAACAGTTTGTCCTCTATTTGACAGGTGAGGCAACTGAGACCTGGGAGGTAATATAATAGTTAACATCATATGGCCAGAAAGTGGCAAACCCTAGCAAAAGTATAGGATCTTTGCCTATAAGGAGATAACACAGTATGGAGCAGCAGGCTGATTTCATCATTCCTACCCACTTTGGGGTAGATAAATGCCCACTCCATTTGTATTTAGCAAAAAGAGGTCAGCTTGGGTCTGTTGGTTTATCATCCAGCAGTGTAGGGCTGAACTTGTAACATCCTGCAAAGGGTGTATCAGAAAAATCTTTGTAGGAGGGAAGGGAAAGAGGTCACAGAGGCAAGCCTGCATAAGTTTTGGCACTGGTCCCTGGGAGGCTTTGTTCTAGTAGATTAGAGAGTCTACCCTAGAGAGTCAGACAGGGTGAGCAAGGGCTCCCTTGGAGCAGGACTAAAAGAGCTTGGAGAACCTGAGACTCCGAGCTGTCCTGTCTGACCTCTGTCTTCTCTCACTGATGAAAGGCAGGCAGACCATCACCATCTGCTAACACTGAAGCCTCTGACCCAACTCTCAGAAACAATTTCAGTATACAGAGACCTGTGATGTGTGTGGGGGAGGGAACAAGGGTGTCAGAATGTTGAGAGAGCTTACTGCAAACCCAAACTTGGAGATTAGCTGGGGCTGAGGCCCTGGGCTGTGAGGTGAAGGTGAAAGTTTCCAGAACTGGCCGCTTTAAGCTGTGGGGACCTTATCTCCCCATCAGGACCATGAGAAACTGGTCCACTGTGACAGGAGTTATTGTTTATGTAGTGGAGACATGCTCTTTGGCTGGCTGCAGTGGACAGAATGTGGGGGACATTATGTCCCAGCTGGTCCTGGTGGGGTCCCATGGGGAAACCTGCTGCTAATGTGCTTTGTGTGTCCTGACTATAAGCAGAGCAGACCTCCGGGGACTTCCTTCCTTTAGTGGTTTGTCTAATCAAATGAGCAATAGCAGGGTCTTGCCTTTGAAGCTCCATCTGGAAGCATCTTTGACCCCCAGCCCACAGGGAACCATTCTTCTTGCAATGCCTGTGGTGCTTCCTGGTGTAGGACTCTCATCTAGCCCTTTGCAGAGACTGGCTCAGTTTCCACATTCTCTGACTCTCATCTAGCCCTTTGCAGAGACTGGCTCAGTTTCCACATTCTCTGCCTGTCCTGCTAGACAACCTGCTCTGTAGGAGAAAGATCATGCCCCTGGTATCTTGGTCGGTCTGTAAATAAGAAGTTGTGGGTTTAAATTAGTCCATGATGTAAACCAGCATCCACGACAATGTTGATCTTTGGTAGGCATGCAAGACATAGTTGGCATCACTGTGGCAACTCATGCTGTCAGTGTAAAGACCAGACATTTTACAAGAAATACACAAATGTCCCCAGTCTCAGAAACTTCATTTTTACTTTATTTGTCCCTTCACTCCAAGGGAAGCTAACTTCTTTGAACTTTGTGTGGATGCTACCAAGTAGAGGGGCCCAAAGGCATGTAGAACCCAGCTGAAAAAGAACAACCCACTTATGTCTGAAGTTCGAAACCAGCTTTAACTATTCCTTAAGAGACGAGGAAGGGACTTAGGAGGAAGGGAATCAAACTTTTTCCTCCTCTCCTTACGAATTTCACTGTAACTGGTTCTAAGCTAACTTTTATTGACTGTTGTATGCTATTCTAAATCATTTGCTTCTCTCAAATACCCTATGGAGTACGTATTTTGACCCATTTTACAGATGAAAAAACTGATGCCCAAAGAGGTTAAGCAACTTTCCAAGTGGCTAACAGGTGGCAGAAAAGATTCAAGATTCAAACTCTGGCTGTCAGTCTCCAAAACCTGAATTTACCATTCATCTCCATGGCATTGGTTTGGATTAGATTATCTCTTAACATCTTTTCCAGCTCTGAGATTCTAGGATCCTCTGATGTCAGGACATTCTAAACCTATTATAACTCTCCTAAATTTGTCAAACCAATTCTAGGTCTCTACGATTACAGACATGATACTTTTAGAATCAGTATTTAAATCAAGGTAGGATTATTATTTAGGAAACACAACTATGTGAGTAGAATCTACCTTTGCCATGTTGTTCTTTTCAGAATTGACCCTAAAACACAGCGCTATGTTTGTCAGAGCCAGTTATTTGCAATGTATCAAAATTTCGACTCTCGGAGTTAAAATGCACGTTCCTTCAAACTTCAAAGTAACTGTGGTGCCAAGCTGATTTTGAGGAGTTGAGTTCTTACTGAGCAGTTCAAGTGACCGGGACTGTAACCAGGGGCTTCATTTTCACCCACATAGCAGTAGGGCAGTCAAGGGGAAAGACTGACGCAGAGAAACGCGGTTCCAGTGGGCTGGGTCCAAAAGACCTAGAGCGAGTGCTTAGTTGAAACATCTGCCAAAATCTCAAGGAACACCCACACAAAAATAAGTTGCTCAGCACAGAAATCAGAGTAGGGAATGTTCTTCGAAGGTCGTACTCCATGGCAGGCATACAGCAGCATGCTTAAACATGGTTCCTGTTAAGGCTAGAGAGGCACCATTCACTTTGAGGAAGTCATCATCGTGACTCTACCCACCCTACGCCCTCATGGCATAATTGAATGCTGAGTGTGGACAGCCCTTCTTCCAGCACTTGGCTGCATTTTCTTGCTCAGTTGGAAGGCTTGGGGAAGAAGAGGGATTCAGGAGGAAGACCATCTGAGTCCATCACAACAATGTGTGCTTTTAACAAGGCAGGGGCACCCAGACTCAGTAGGTCCAACAGACCAAGTTAAGATGTTAAGGTCTTGTGGATCACCTACCCCCTGCCAACTAGTCACCACTTAAAAGATGAGAAAACGCTAGCTCACAGGCCAAATGAGAGGCATTTAGATGAGGCACCAATGAAGTGATGTCTGGCTTTGTATTAATTACAAGTAAATTAATAACATATGCCAGGAAGCAAAGTAGAGACATTTTCCTATTATAAACCCTCAAGACAAGCCCAGAGACTACCAGTGGTCCAGGGCCTGTGTACTCTGAGAACTGAGGGGATAACAAGACTGTGCAACACCTTGGTACCCACCCACCCTTACCAGATCCCACAGTTCACAGCATCGCCTTGGCACACTGGACCTGTGTAATACTCATGGACTTGATCTGGAATCACAAAGCGAACTCAGCTTCTGTTGCATTCACCCCAGTGACTGTGAGCACACACCAATGAAGGAGGAATAGTAGCCATAAATAAAAATAGCTTTTGCCTACTTCTGGGACCTTCCTAGGCTTCTGAGGGTGTCTTGGAAGCCAGTCTAAGACAATGGGTAAGAGCATGGACTCTGAAAGCAGGTTCCCCAACTTAGAATCCCAGCTCTGCCATTTCCCGACTGTATGGCCTTAACAAGTTACTTAGCCTGCCTGTGACTCAGGCTCCTCATCCATAAAGTGAGCATAATAGTTCCTACCTCATAGGGCTGTCATGGGGATTTGTGGGCTAATATTAAAGAAGGTTTCTCAACCTCAGTACTATTGACATTTGGGGCCAGATAATTCTTTGTTCTGGGGGCTGCCCTGAGTACTGTGGGATGTTTAGCAACCTCCCTGCCCTCTACTAACTGTTGTGACAACCAACAATGTCTCCAGATATTGCCAAATCTTCCAAATATTTCCTAGGGGGCAAAATTGCCTCTAGTTGGGAACTACAGTACTAGATCATGTCGTAGATACAAATAGCCAAATATCAGTAATTTTGTATAGTTCAGTCTAATAACTGTAAGTGTTTAACAGTTAAAAATCTGTGAACTTTGTAGATATGTTATGTGCTTCATCTGGGATAAAGGAACCCAATGCTTTCCTCAGATGCTCAGAAGAATAAAAAACATGGAGAATTCTAGCCTGAGTTCAACATTCACCAGTCAAATAGAATTTCTATAAAGTGGGGTTCATAATACATCCCTCACAGGGCTTTTGTAAGGATACTGCAAGGGGAATGTGAGTGAGAATGTTTTTGTATGCAGGAAAGTTTCACAGAGATATCATGAGAATGCTGCCTTCATGGGACTTAGGTCCTGAGGCTGACAAAGAAAAAGGACCCTCATCACAGCTACATCTCTGGATTTCTGAAAAGGTGCTGGGATGTGAGAATTGTGTAGCTGAAGAAATGTTGCAGAGCAGCTGGAATGGGGGGTGTGGCTGGCTGCACAGGAAAGTTTCTCTGCAAAGGCACTAACCTGGCTAGACAAGAGGGTCAGTGGCTTCGTCTGGGGTCAAGGGGGCCCTGGGGTGGGTAGATGAATGACCAGCCACTTGACAGCTGAATAGGGGAGCAAGTTTCCCTCAGACCCAATGTCAGCAAGCCTTCTGGGTGCTGAGCCTCCTCTCATGTGTTCCTTTTATTTTATTGATACATAATAAATGTACATATTTTGGAAGTACATGGGGTATTTTGATATATTAAAAAATGTATAGTAATCAAATAGGGATATTCATAACCTTAAACATTTATCTTTATGCTGGGAATGTCTGAATTATCCTCTACCAGGTATTTTGAGATATACAATAAGTTATTGTTTACTGTAGTCATTCTACTGATTTGTTGAACACTGGGTCTTACTTATTCTGCCTACTTGTATTTTTGTACCCATTAATTGGGTCTCTTTCCCCCACTTCCTGCTACCTTTCCTGCCTTTGGTAACCACCAATCCACTGTCTATCTTCATGAGATTTACTTTCTTAGCTCCCACATATGAGTGAGAACATGGTATATTTGTCTTTCTGTGCCTGGCTTATTTCATTTAGCAAAATGATCTCCAGTTCCAGTGGTGTTGCCACAAATGACAAGATTTCATTATTTTCTATGGATGAATAATATTCCATTGGGTACAGATGCCAGATTTTGTTTATCCATTCATCTGTTAATGGGCACTTCGGTTGATTTCATATCTTGGCTATTGTGAAATTGCTGTGGTAAACATGGGAGTACAGACACCTCTTCCATATTCAGATTTCCTTTCCTTTGGATATATACCCAGCAGTGGGACTGTGGATCATATGGGTGTCCAAACCAGAAAGGAAGAAGTCATGATGTTCCTTTTGCCCACAGATGTACCGAGGCTTCACCAAGATGCCCCATGTGCAGTACATCCACACAGAGGCTTCTGAGAGTCTCTGTGGCCTTAAGCTGGAGGTCAACAAGTACCAGTACCTGCTGACAGGTAATGGCCAACTCTAGCTTCTAGGCCAGGGTTTGGCCAAGATCCACTGTTTCTTGACTTCAGAAGAACACAGAAGTAGTTGACTCATCAGATGTCTAGCAAATTGTAAGAAGTCTCTAATGTTGAATCCATCCTACTTACCCAGTGCTAAGAGCTTGAGGCTCCTACACCTAGTCTGGACTTTGGAATTAGCTCCACAGCTCACCTTGTGGAGGAATCTACTAATTTGTAGTTTCTCAACTTTACTGTAAATAAAAAGGGGTTGTCTCTTCCTCTTCACCTCACAGTCAACCTGATAGACCTATCTTTGAAAGGTATTCATCTTTAGGCAGTCAATGTAGTAAAGGAGAAAACAAAAACAAAAAATCATTATAAAGGGAGTAAAGAGTTGGTCTCTAGTCCTAGCTCCAATATTTAATAGGCTTGGGACCTTTGGCAAATCACTTTACCAGGGAGGGCAAAATAAAATCATGGTTCTGAGAAGTACCCAGTCACAGTGCCTGGGCTAAGTGGGAACATAGTAGGTTTGAATTCTTTCGTGGTTAGACTCTGGACAAAACAACCCTCTCCTTGTTTTCTTCTTCCCTCCTGTAGGTCGTGTCTATGATGGCAAGATGTACACAGGACTGTGCAACTTTGTGGAGAGGTGGGACCAGCTCACCCTCTCCCAGCGCAAGGGGCTGAACTATCGGTACCATCTGGGTTGTAACTGCAAGGTAAGCCCTGGAGTCACTGGGGGAAGGAGGGGAGGTGCTGACTTGCAGCCCCAGAAACATCAGCTCCAAATGCCGCTCTGGGCCCTCGTGCTGGGAAGGCTGTGCTTGTGTTAAGCCAGGGCAGAGGGGTAGGTCTGAGCAGACTTGGTAAGGAATGTTGCTCCCAGGTGGAGCAGTGAGGAAGGCGGGGAGGGAAGAATGCCTTTCTGCTGTATTTGGCTGCCTCCATGATGACTACTTGGAAGCTGTTGGAGAAAGAGGGCACTTGAGTCCCTTGACCCACCTGGCAGTTCAAGGCTGTAGATATAGGATCCTGATACTGGCAGGTTCTGCCAAGTGGTTTCAAGTTGGCTCACCCTGGTGGCTGACTCATCAACCCCACCCCAGGTGGGCAAACAGGCCCAGGACTGCAGATATCAGATGCTACAGAAGGGCTCTCTTCAACCAGGCCCACCCCGCTGGCTCAAGTGTAGGGGGCCAAGGCACAGCCTTCCTGCTATGGGAGGGAGTTGGGCCATTCTCTCACTTAATCTTCAAAACAACCCTTTGTGGTTTTAATTACTATGATCTCCATTTTGTAGATGAGAATTCAGAGAGCTTAGGTAACTAGCCCTAGGTCACACAGCTCACTGAATCTGGTTTCCAACCTAGGGCAACTAGAAAGTGTATGCTCTAACCTTTCTAATTCCTTTAAATAACTGAGGTCTCCCATCTATTTGAGATGAAAAAGCCCTCTCAATGGTCTAATCCTGCTACTTACTGGCTGTGTGACCTGGAGCAAGTTAGTTTCTTTATCTGTAAAAAGGTAGATAAAACTGTTATGAAAATTAAAGAGAATAATATAAAAGCACTTAGCAGAATGTCTTAGATAGCAGGTGCTTAACAAATGTTTGCTAGTGCTATTTATATTATTATCACTGAGGGACTGATGTGGCTAGCTTCCCCTGCAGTGGTCCCAGGGTCTGAATCCAGACTCAGCAGCTTCAGGCCTGGGCATATGATGAAGGAGTCTATCAACCGCTGGCTCTTATCTAATTGCAGATCAAGTCCTGCTACTACCTGCCTTGCTTTGTGACTTCCAAGAACGAGTGTCTCTGGACCGACATGCTGTCCAATTTCGGCTACCCTGGCTACCAGTCCAAACATTATGCCTGCATCCGGCAGAAGGGAGGCTACTGCAGCTGGTACCGAGGATGGGCCCCCCCGGACAAAAGCATCATCAATGCCACAGACCCCTGAACGCCAGACCCTGCCCCACCTCACTTCCCTCCCTTCCTGCTGAGCTTCCCTCGGACACTAACTCTTCCCAGATGATGACAATGAAATTAGTGCCTGTTTTCTCGCAAATTTAGCACTTGGAACATTTAAAGAAAGGTCTATGCTGTCATATGGGGTTTAGTGAGAACTATCCTACTGACCCCATTCTGTCCCTTCTTTTTGGTTTTGACATCACTCATTTCCACCTGGGAATTTCTGGTGCCAAGCCAGAAAGAAGGAGGAACCTGTATTCCTCTTCTTCGTGATAATATAATCTCTATTTTTTTAGGAAAACCGAAATCTAAAAACTATTCCATTTGGGCATTGTAATTCCCACCCCTTTTTCTTCTTCCCCACCTCAACATCTCCTAGACCCTCCTCTCTTTGCCCTTCTCCTCCAATACATTAAGGACACAGACAAGGAAGTTGCTGAAAGACCAACCACTTCAGGATCAGTCAAAGGCAGCAAGCAGATAGACTTAAGGTGTGTCAAAGATCTTATACACCAGGAGCTGCCACTGCATGTCCCAACCAGACTGTTTCTGTCTGCGTCTGCTTGTGAGACTGAGGGAGGGAAGGAATAAACTACAAGAGAGTTGGAGATGATGCAGCACACACACCACACAATTCCCCAGTCAGTGATGCTTGGGTTGACCAGATGTTCCTGAGTCTGGAGCAAGCACCCAGGCCAGAATAACAGAGCTTTCTTAGTTGGTGAAGACTTAAACATCTGCCTGAGGTCAGGAGGCAATCTGCCTGCCTTGTACAAAACCTCAGGTGAAAGACTGAGATGAATGTCTTTCCTCTCCCTGCCTCCCACCAGATTTCCTTCTGGAAAACTCTTTGGTAGATTTGGCCGGGAGCTTGCCTTTATGTAAATTAGAGACCTACACACCATCCACCATCCACAGATATAGCCAAGTAGACTTGGGTAGAGGATATTATTTCCAGAATAATGTTTAGCTCACCTAGGGAGATATGTTTGTATACACATTTCCATATACCCACGTGGGGACATAAGCTAATTTTTTTTACAGGACACAGAATTCTGTTCAATGCTGTTACATATGCCAATAGTTTAATCTCTCCTATTTTGTTGTTATTGCTTGAAAAAAATCATGACATTCCAAGTTGACTTTTTTTTTTTTTCATTTTAATTAAAATTTGAAATTTTGAACACCCTCAGCACCCTCTCTTCCCTATCACAGGTCATTTGACCTCTGTCCGTCTCCTTTTCCCTGTTCATATTTGGGGGGCTTCCTTTAACTGCCTTCCTGGCTTGGCTCAGATAGCAGATAAGAGTGTAGTCAATGGCCTGGGCACAGGAGGGAGAGCTGTAGAGTGTCCTGCCTTGGCTGGAGGGACTCCTCTCCTGGGCGTGGAGACAGGTTGGTCCCCTTTCCCTAGCTCCCTGGTAGGTGAATGCCACCTCCTGAGATCCTCATCTCTTGGAATTAAAATTGTTGGTCACTGGGGAAGCCTGAGTCTGCAATCAGTTGTAGGGTTTCTGTTGTGTTGTTTGGTAATATAAGTTCTCCTATTGAATAAAATTATTTTAAGTTTTGGTGTCAAAAAATGAGATATTGAGAGTAGGTGATAATGTATATTTTACAGAATGGGGGGGTGGTAGGATGGTGACATTGAACATGATTGCTCTCTCTTTTTTCAGCTTATGGGTATTTATCTTCTATTAGTATTTGTATCTTCAGTTCATTCCACTTTAGGAAACAGAGCTGCCAATTGAAACAGGAGAAGAAAAAAAAAGCGGCAAACAACACATTATAATGTCTTGCACACACACAAATGCCCAGGCAAGGTGCTTGGCAGAACCCCAGATCGGGAAGACAGTACAGGCACTGGATTTCCTTGGGTTCTATTTCATTACCTTGTACCTTTCCCATTGTGGTCATGCCATTTGGCAGTGGGGGAATGGGAGGATTGGCCTTCTCTGTGAGGCAGTGTGAGCAGATGAAGCTGAGGCCAGCAGGTCAGTGGTTTTTAAGGGATGAGCCCAGACTTGATGTTTTGGGATTGTCCTTATTTTAACCTCAAAGTCTCGCATGGTGGGGCATGACTGACCAACCTATGCAAGCTCCCTCCTGCAAGAGGACATCAGTGTCTTCTCTGTGAGGCATCTGGCCATTCTCACTCCCTGGTGTGGTCAGCCCCTCTTACACAAGGAGGGACCTGGGTGAAGGCTGAGCGTGAGGCACCTGAAGTTTCCCTGCAGAGTCGATACATTAGCAGAACCACAGCCCCATCTGTTAGGCCTTGGTGAGAAGGCCCTGGACAAAGAAGGGTCTTTCACAAAGCAATGTCAGAGGGCGGTTTTGAGCTTTCTATAAGCTATAGCTTTGTTTATTTCACCTGTTCACTTACTGTATAATTTAAAGTCATTTATGTAGCTGAGACACTTCTGTATTTCAATCATATCGTGAACATTTTATTTTGCTAAAACTTGTGTCATGTGTAGGCTGTAATATGTGTACATTGTGTTTAAGAGAAAAAAAATGAAACCCACATGCCACCATTTTCCTGAATCAAATTCTACAGTCGAATGGAGAGTAAAATACTTCTAGGCAAGCAGCTAGACTGGTGAATTGGGGGAACTAGAAGGAACTGAGACTCCTCCAGCCTCCTCCCTGTTGGAATCCCAATGGTTCCTGGAGTAGGAAAAAGTGTTTAAAGTACATTCATGTTCTTGTTCTATGTCACCTGGCCCTGGGGAGACTACCATTTACTTCACCCCAAGTCCTGTTATCCTTCTAGTTGGGAGGCTATGATTTTCCTAAGAATCCAGGGCCATGGGAGATACAATTCCGAGTCCTCATTGCCTCCTTTGGGCATCTCTTCTGCCTTCCAATCAAGGAAGCTCCATGCCCAGGCTCTCACCTCTCAGGCCAGTGCTCTGCTCTGTCCAGGGCAGGTAATACTGGGAGACTCCTGTCTTTACCCTCCCCTCGTTCCAGACCTGCCTCATAGTGGCAACATGGTTCTTGAACAATTAAAGAAACAAATGACTTTTTGGAATAGCCCTGTCTAGGAGACACTGTGTCCCCCAGGAGACACTACCCTTCGGACTACACCAAGATGGCACCCAAGTGTCTGGCTTCTGGCTACCTAAGGTAAACATGTCGCTAGAGTATTTTTATCAGAGAGCAACATTCTAAAAATCTGACGGCAAACACAAAACAAGATGGGAGAGAGTAGGGGAGGTAGATGTGATAACAACTTCCAAACTGGTTTTTTGGAGGTGAGAGGAAGAAAAGAACTTTGAGAATAGTTTATGTTTTGGGGGTAGGGGCTTCTTAGATTCTCCCACTTACCTTTCCCTTTAGCCAGTCTGCTGTCCTGAAACCCAGAAGTGATGGAGAGAAACCAACTAGAGAAAACCCTGTCTAGAAGGAATGTATTTGTTGCTAAATTTTGTAGCACTGTTTACAGTTTTCCTCCATGTTATTTATGAATTTTATATTCCGTAAATGTATATTGTCTTGTAATATTGCATAATGTTCACTTTTTATAGTGTGTCCTTTATTCTAAACAGTAAAGTGGTTTTATTTCTATCACACATCTGCTGTCTTTTGCCTTGTCTTTTGACCGCCACTGGGAGTTATGTACACAAAAGCAGGCCGTGGAAGTCTGTCCCGGACTCCAGGCCTGGACCCGTCTCTCCTGCCATGCACTTCTGCAGCCTGGCCCCACCCTGCTCTAGTCCTTTTCCCTTGCAGGAATCTCAGGAGAGGTGCTCTGCCTTGACTTTGCTCCCTGATTCTATTGCTAGAGTCCTCCCTAGTTCTGCTGAATCTGGATCTATTAATATATCTGTACCTAATCACCTACTGGTGGTACAAGTATCCCCAGATTGGAGTCCTCACTCAGCCCTCCTTGTTTTCTTCCTAAGAATCCCAACCTGGTGGAGGTGGGGAGGGGCAGCCTGCAAACAGCAGTCCTTGCCGTCAATTGCCTGCTTGAAATTCTAAGTATGGCTTGGCCTAGTTGGGAACACCAGGAACTCGAGGTCTCACGACAGCTGGTGACCTTTTCCCAGTGCTTATAACAACCTCCTTTCAGAGTTTACAGCAGGGCCTTCCCTGTCAATGGGCTGGGCTGGCTGCAGACCCCTCACCCGACTTTCATCCCACCATTGACAATGTTCCAGGTTGCAGCTTTCACCCTTCTTTTAAAGCTACTCTTATCATATGCCAGGTGCAGCACTTTATACACAGGATCCCATGAACTCTCAACTACTCAGTGAGGTTGCTCCACCATTATCCATGGTTTTTACCTGAAGAAGTTGGGGCTCACAGAGACAAAGTCATTTTACTGAGACCTAGTGTGTAGACAGAACGGGGATTCAAACTCAGGCTGGTTTGATAATGAACTCTGAATATTGTCCACTGTAAGTATGCATATATAGTGGGGAAAATTCAGGATTTGGGGATATGCTGGGTTTCACATGTGCCCTTCTTATCTCAACCAGCACATTCTGGATTCCGTGACTCTTGCCCAACAGATGTAGGGTAAAGGTCATCAACAGAAAATTCTGCTTGGTTAGACTGCTTCCTCCTGGTACCTGCAGTCCTATCCATCAGTGTCTCCAAACAGGGCTGTCTAGTCCAGCAGTCCGAGCTTGGACCCTACAAACAGATGCAGTAAGTCCCCAGCTGGGACTATGGGATACCCTATTAATTATTCTGTTCCTAAAGACTCATTCCCTGCAAGGCCAAGTGCAGGGTCACAGCTTTGCATTCCTTTGAGCAGTTTAAGAAGACCACAAACTATGCAAGCAGACATGTTGCAGGCTGTTTCCTAATGCTCAGAGTTCCCCCCACCCCCAACTTCTTCTGACTTGAGGTGGAGAATCCTTCACCTTATTCAAAAAGACATTCACCTCTTCCACCCAGGTATCCTTCAAATGGGAAGCTGTACCACATACTCTGAAGCCCTAACCGCTTCCCAGAGGAGATCTCAGGTGCATTCAGAAATTAGAAAGTGAAGAGGACATGTAAGGAAACTGCCCTTCAACAATCAATGCAAATCAAATATTAATATTACTGCTTTTTATTAAAATATGAGTTGAAATCAGGTTCCACAAAAGGCTCAAGTAAAACAACATCCAACCTTGAAAACATCTTTTACCTTTATAATCAGCCTCTGGCTCCAATATTCCAGCAAAAGTTGTCCCCTGATTTGCTGAAAATCTCCAATGTCCAAGGAATGTGGTCCACCTTTGTCATTTGCCCTACTGCCTGAATTTCACCTGGAGAGATGACTTTTCTTAGGAAAGCCAGATATTCCCATAGGACACTGTGGCTCTGCCTTAGAGTCTGCGTGTTCAGTGTATAACCCCTAGAGTCCCCCTCCTCTGTCCAAAGGGACTGAGGACAAGACATCTGTTATTCATTCCACATCATGAAAAGAAACAGTAAAAAAGCGCACTCACCATTGGCTTATGGTTGGGGAAAAATGTTTGCTCCACAAGTGGGAACTTCTCAGGACCCAGGGAATGGAAGATCTTAATGAGTTGAGAGAACTAGGATAGAAGAGGAGAGAATATTGATCAACCGTTGTTACACAGGATGGCAAAACCTCCCACTTGATCTGGGGCCTCAAGTATCTGATTGTTCTAAGCTGAGCTTCAGTAGGTGCTCCCTGCCTATGGGATAAGGACTAGTTTCCTTGGCTAGACATTCATCCTCTCCATCATCTATATGTATCAACCCCTCCATTTCTGCCCAAGTCCTAGTAAGTAGGCAGAACACTGGGTTTAGCTCAGCCATATTTAATGAGCACTTACTACAGCCTCAGCATTTCACACAAGGTCCTTCTCCACGGTACAACCTGCTGATGTTCACGCCCTACTCCCTGCCTGCAATGCCTTCTTTCTAGAGAGGCAGCGCTGCATGGTAATTGAAGATGTGGATGTGGATCCAGCCTCCCTGGGTTCAAATTCTCAGTTTGCCACTTATTAGCTGTGTGAGCTGGGAAATCAGTTCAGGTTTCTGAGCTTTGGTTTCTTCACTTGTATACTGGAGATAATGAGAGATCCAACCTCATAGGATTGTTGTAGGAAAGCAGCGTGTCAAAGGCAGTGAGTGCTTGGTCCACAGCAGTGCTAAAATGCTAGGTGTGATTATTAGTATTTTCTCTGCTGTTGCAACCCCTCTCATTTCCAATAGCTCAAGCCCACTTGAGCTTCCCACTTCTCTCCTCCTACTTCAACACTTGCTTGTTTTGCCAGGTATTAGCTATTGTCTCCAGAGCTCAAAGGTGAGCTCCATCACTATGCTTTATTATTGAGGCAATAAGCTGAACATGGAGGGTAGGCCAGAGGGAACATAGCTGCAGGTACATGACTGTGATACTAATGTCTTGCTGGAGGGAAGCATGGGGGGTGATGGGACCTGGAAGGGGGATGGGGTAGGGGATCAAGATGATCCCCTGGCGCAGATGACTGAAGAGAAGGAGAATGGGCACTCCAGGTGTGCATTAAGACTAGTGTGTGCTGGAGACCCTCTACTGCTGCCATGCTGTGGCATCAGGTGTAGGTGATGATGAGAGATGAGGTCGAAGGGTGATCCATCACAGACCACCAGCCTTAAAGGCCTGACCAAAAAGGTTAGAATTCACCCAGAAGGTGAAGTAGAGTTTCTGGTGGATATATGCAGAGAAGAGCGAATCAGATTCTGAACAAGATAAAGAAATCTATCAGAATCTGTGTTCCCATGCGGATGCCCAGTGGTTAAAGGAGGGGCCAACCTGACTTGGGGATCACTCAACACTAAGAGCCTGGACACTGAGAACAGAATAACTTAGGAACTTTCTGCATCAGCCCAGGATTGGTTGGCAAACCCTTGGAGCACAACAGATGTGCACAACATGGAGTCAATTTGGAGGGTTTAGGAGAACTCAGAACCATGGGAAATGATGTATGTGTGTGTGTAGGGGTTCCCTTATTTTGCAGACAAGGAAACTGGAGTCCAGGAGGGAGAGTAATTCCACAGGTAACCACATGACTTTTGAAGAGGCCTAGCTCTACCACTTACTACTAGCTATGTGAGCCTCAGTTTCCTCATCTGTAAGATGGAGCTATTAGCAACTCCCACTCATAAGGGTGCTGAGGATTAAATGCAGTATGCACGTTAAGGGCTCAGGATAGTGCATGGTTAGTGATGACAAATTGTGGTTGCTACTCTTGCGATGACTGTGGAAGAAGGTGGAGAAGGGCTAACTATCTAGGATCCTGTCCTAACAGTGCCACTTGAAAATCTTGGATGCCATTGGTCAAAAAGCTCAGTTAGGGCAGAATGAGAAGGAGACCAGGGCCATGACAATAGTGGTAAAGTCTATCCATACTTATTAAATTAATGCATGTGGCCATTCAGTAAATACTGAGTGTCCCAACTCTGCATGGGACTTGTTCCAGGTACCTAAGGCAGTGATCATTTTTATCGCCTGTTGAGTGTGTACTTTGTGCCAGCCACCTTATAAGCACTTTATATCTATTAAATCATAATCCTACCAGGAAGGCCCTATTATGATCACCACTTTCCAAATAAGGAAGCTAAGTTCAGAGAGGTTAAGGGAGTTGCTCACAGTAGCACAGCTCATAAGTGGAGAAGCCTGGACCTAGGAGTCTGGCTCCAGAGCTCACAATCTCAACTACCACCCTATACCACCCGGTGATTACAGACAGATAGCAAAACACCACAGACCAGACAACTATGAGCTTCACAGAGCACATTCTACATACCCCTAACCTCCACACTACCTATCCTCTTTCCATCCTTTATCTTCCCCCTTGCCACTGATCATAGCACATATTGTATATCTGGCATATGTATTAAAGCATTACACATGCCCCTGCTCACTAGAACATAAGATCCACAGGGCAGGAGTTTTGGTCTGATTTGCTCACTGCCACGTTCCTAGGACTTAGGACAGTACCTGGAACAGAGTAAGTACCCAAGAAGTATTTGTTATATGAATGAATAACTTCTAATCGGGGGACAGATAATGCACAAATGAATGGATGAATTTATCATTCTAGGTGGAGATAAGCAGGAAAAAAAATAAAGCAGGGTAAGGGATTTGAGAGCACTCAAGCGAGTGGAGGAGTGGTATTTTTATTTATTTATTTTTATTTTTTATTGCATTTTAGGTTTTGGGGTACATGTGCAGAACATGCAAGATAGTTGCATAGGTACACAGATGGCAGTGTGTTCTGCTGCCTTCCTCCCCTTCATCCACATTTGGCATTTCTCCCCAGGCTATACCTCCCCAGCTCTCCCCACTCCCGCAGCTGTCCCTCCCCTATTCCCCCCATTAGACCCCAGTATGTAGTACTCCCTTCCCTGTGTCCATGTATTCTCATTTTTCAGCACCCACCTATGAGTGAGAATATGCGGTATTTCATTTTCTGTTCTTGTGTCAGTTTGCTGAGAATGAGTGGTATTTTTAGAACTAATTAACTAACTTCCTTCCTTCCTTCCCCCCTCTCTCTTTCTCTCCTTCCTTCCCTCCTTCTTTCCTTCCTTCCTCCCTCCCTCCTTCTTTCTCTTTCCTTCC